AGACTCCCAATCCACTCTCTAAACGCTGGGAGGAGTGAGGAAGCAGACAGGCACCCTTTTCACTGGCCAACAGTTAACTGAAAGTTCACATTTTGCACTTTCCCTGCCTCCCACGTGGGTTTTTTCAGTTCTTAACTCAAATCTAAGTACTTAAGTCAAGTCAATATTTTCCTATGAGAGCGGTTCTTAAGTCAAAATGTTCTTAACTCGAACCGTTCTTAAGTCAAGACCCCACTGTACATTTGATCAGGAGAGCTCTGTTATGGGTTTGGAAGACAGTTAAGGCACAACATTATAGAAAGACACCATTATGGGTAGAAGTGTTCTCTGAACCGGCAAGAACAATTCAAGGGACAAACAGGAGATACATTGAGATATTAGATGGTGATTTTAATTTAAAGAACAAAGATGCATTGGCACAACAAGGTATTATCTTCGATTGGTGGTCAATAAACTTGTTTAAATCAAGAAATGTAAAAGATAAAGCTACAAGGTTTCAGAAAGACAAGATACCTTTGGATAAGGGGTTGCTGGACTCAGAGGAAGAATTGATTAAAGGTTTATATAATACTTTGATGGAGCAAAAAATGGAAGATGAAATTGTGAAGGATTGTATGGAAAAAGGGTCTCAAAATGTAGGTCATAATATTGAACTAAGTTCCTGGTCACAAAATTGGGAACACAATACTAAAAGGACTAAATCTATAAATCTAAAAGAAAATATATAGAAAATGTTTTACAGATGGTACATAACACTAGAGAAGTTAACAACAATGTATAAAAATGTATCTAATAAGTGTTGGAAATGTGAAGAGAAAGTAGGGAGCTTCTTTCATATGTGGTGGATGTACAGTAGGGCCAAGGACTTTTGGAAAATGATTCATGAAATGATAGAGAAAATTTTAGGAGTTAAAATTGCTTTAACACCAGAAATCTTCTTATTGAATATATTACTAGCTACACTTGGGGGAAAAAAAAAGACTTATCTGACTTTACACCTGAATTCCAGCTAGAACTGTGTATGTCAGTAAGTGGAAGACTACAAAGGTGCCAACAAAGAAGAAATTTATTCAGAAGATTTTGGAACGAGCAGAAATGGATATTTTGACAGATACACTAAATGATAGACTGGATAATAATAAATGGGAACCTCTTTATATCTGGATGAAATCTACACCGATTTAAGTAGAATAGATTAGATTAATATTATGTTAGACAGTATAAGACAAGATGAAATGAATTGAATATATTGTAATAGATGACTCTGGTTGCAACAGATAGAAAAGTAGAAAAATACCAAAAAATAATTTTAAAAAATTAGAATTCAATAATTCTATAAATTTAAATTCATTTAGAATTCTGCTTCTACATTCCAGTGTTCTGGGTACAAGGAAATACTCATCCCCATCCCCATATAATACCACTGGGTAAGGTGGTCTAACAAGGTACTGTTGCATCCAGGGATAGTTTTGCAATCCATTTTCAAAGTGTAATTAATGGTATAGCTTGGGCTTGGCTTGGATAAAGGGGGTGGGGATAAAAGTGTGGGAAATCAATACTTGTTTATTACTGTGAAATAACAAAATATTATCCCCCTACTCTTCTAAATTTTTTCTAACATCCCAAAGTTCCTCATATGTGGGTAAGTGCTTCAACTCATTCCTAAGCCTCATGTTTAATCTGTCATCTCCAGATAAGGCTGCGAACCACTTTCGTCTGAAATTCTGCAGGGTTGTTAACAGTCTACACAGCCATTACCAAGCCAGATATTCTAAATAAACATGCCAGCAGACAGGAGATCCAAATAATTATTTTATTTTGCTTCAGCAAATGTTCATTTACAACCACCAAGTGATGGAGAATCAAGTGGAAATCTACTGATTAAAGGAATCCAACCAGCATTAGACTCTGCAGCCAGCACTTGTTCAACAAGAACTGTCTCTCCAGCTTGTTCAAGAGGTGGTGGCAGTGGAGTTGATCACTCTTAAGAGGCCACTTGTCCACCACTAGACAACCTGCCTTTCAAGGAGACTTGTGCAACATCCTCCACTTATCTCCACCGCAAGGGAGTGGGAGGTGCCACTCTGAATTCTTTCTGGGCAACAGCCCACCCTAAAAAGCTTGGGCAGGTGAACAGTGTGCATGACCTCAGCATGCTTTTGACATAAGCTCTTGAATTATCTGCATTTGACTGGAACTCACAGCAGCCAAGCAGCAAAGATGGAAGTTTGAAAATGCATGTGTAGTATAAGAACTATGAGAGCGAGAACAAGTAAAAAAGAAAGTTGTCAATTTTGCTTCATGTGTGTGTGCATATCAATTCTTGACTTACGCTGACTCTTTTCAGAGTTTTCTAGGCATAGGGTACTCAGAAGTGGTTTCCCATTGCCTACTTTTTGGTGACACCTGTGATTCTGCAGTTTGCCCAAGGCTATACAGGCTAGTTCTTCCCCTAGAAATCAAACATCTATTCTGTCGCTTTACTGAGCCCTGCTAACTCACTGAGCAATCCTTTCAGTGGTCTCAAAATGATTATTGGCTTCATCTGAAAAGAGCAGTCAACATTTAGGAAAATATCTAATATCTTTCTCTCTTGAAAGACAGAAAGTAAGTTCATAAGTAACTCCAATGACATTCTTACTGGTGGGCAGTTATAATGATTTATACTTAAAATTGTTTTTGCTTCAATTTCAGATCTTCTGCCAACAATACTATATAAAAATAATTACTACATTCTCTGTGCTGTTAAAAAAATTACCATATTTAAATCAATACACAATTTATAGTAATAGCCTAATCTTACAATAACAAGAAAGCCTGGCTTCTTAAAAGTGCAAGCAGCTGGATGTGTATAGCTTTTCACATTACCAGTTAAAAGAAATGCTGAGGCAAGTGTACATTTTGGACAATGAAAAGAACCAAAGACTTAGGGGATGAACAAAATATAGATGACCAGCTGGGCATTCAACTGTGACAGCATTTAAGAAATATAGCCTTTTCCAAATTTACACAGCATCACCAAGTGGATAAAACTGCAAGTGCGGCCTAAGTTACTGACAAGGAGTGTATGAAATTCGGTACTTGATTCCCTGTGTTTACTATTGCCGAAAGGTATTCTAATGCCAACAACATGCTTTCCAGGACATACCCCAGAAAGTTCAACAAAGGACACCTGTTGTGGGCAAGATTAATGCAACCATATTTTCTTGTATGAGACAATGTCTTCTACCTTTCAGCAAATACTGAAATAGAGACTGCTTTTCTGCCTCACAAATCACCTCTAGTCAGCCAATCAGTACGAGATAAGTGTAGCTGAGAGTTCTGGATGGGTGAGAATACGACCAAAGGTTTCTTTATTCAGAAAGTTTAATTCACCAGATGGCTTTCCACCATATAACTTCTGCATTCTAAATATGAACTGGACATGCAAATTTAGAATTTCTTTTTCATCACATGCAATTGGCATGGCTAATTCCACTCTGAAACAGAACTTCCCAAAGTTTTTGGCATTATATCTCTTATAATTTTTAAGTAAAGTAAAAACAAATGTATGTGATGGATAGGGATGAATGTCTAGCATGAAATGGTAGTGAGAAAAACAGGGAATTGGCTGGGTAAGAGGGAGGGAGGAAGGGAGGGAGGCAGATGAGAGAAAGACTGAACTGAAAAGAGTGGGATGATGAATAAGAATTAGATTAGGGTTAGGAATAAAACCACATTTGCTGGAAGTGTTTCTGCAATAAAAGTGACATAATTTAGTTCAAGCCAAATGATGAAGAGTGTTGATTACCTAAGGATTGACTACATGGTACAGTGGGAGATGTCAGAGTAAGAGTGGTAGTAACCAACACGCAGGAGCAACTCAAGGTTGGTGGCAGTGACGGGTGAAGATTGTGAAAGAAAATAATGTTAAAATAGTGGTTATGCTGATGAGTTGTGGCCTAATAGTTCAAGTGACAAGTTGAAGAGGTAGGAGATGTAATAAGCTTGGGGTACGACAGGAACCAATGTTTTAAACATTACTGTCTATAGGACACACTCACACACAACACAGAAGTATCAGTTTAAACAAGATTAGAAAAGATATACAACGATTAGTTACATACCAAGGACTCTAACAAACCAACCACTAATTAAAGTATCTGAAAAAAAATCAAGAGACCGAATTTTGGCACATAAACCAACAATGGTGGGCTTATTTTATTTTTAACTTGATGACCAAAAAAAAATTCCAATGCACTACAAATGCTACAATTGCATCTACGTATATAGCAGAATGGTGACGCTTTTCCAAAGGCTTCACATGGCTACTAGAGAAGAAGTGTGAAAGCACTCAGATGCTCACTGTGAGGGCTTGCTGTGTGCTTTGAAATCCTGTGGATTTTCAGCCTGAGGATCTCAAGGATGTAGAGAGATTGAGTGAAATAGTGAGGACTACCATTTGCTCACTCAATCTTTGCCCTTCTTGCTCATCAAGTCTGCAAAGTGGTACTGATGCCATGATTGAGGGAGATGATAAACACCTCCTTAATTAAGGCTCTGTCCCAACCTGTCTAAACAAAAGTTTCATAAAACCTTTTTAAAAGAAACCTTGACCCATAAGTTTTCATTTACTACAACATACTGTGTTCATGTTCTGTTTATGGGCCCTCATAGGCAACTAGCTGGCCACTGTGAGAACTGGGATAGGCCTCTTTTAATGTTCTACTGAACACGCACTGCACTTGGTATGTTAAGAGAGAGATTCTATTTCATGTTCAGCCATCAGCTAACTGGATGCAAGCCACCACCTTCCAGCATAACATAGCTCATTAACGCATTCTGAAAGTTAAAATTTTAATAAATAATTCACATATGATTCCTGTATGTCTGAACAATAATCACAATTTTAAACACCATGGTCAAAATCCTATGAATTTTTGAGCCATTGCAGAGGCTGCAGTGGCTAGCTGAGACTAATTAGAAAGGCAGCAGGATGCAACCAGCAACTTGTTATTACCTGGAAAAACACTGTGATTTCAACCCAGAATTCTTGTATTTGAAATTAAAATAAATCTTTACCAGCTTCTTTTCTGAAATGATCCGTTTACGCCCCAGTTGTCGAGATTTTGAACATCTTGTGCAGGTTGTGCTAAAATTCTTCTGCCAGCTTTTAGCTTGCTTTTGAAATAATGAATTCTCTACATATGAATTTGCCAGTCTCCATGGGCTTTCAAATAAAGCTCTGATAGTTATTCGTAACATTTGTCTAGAAAGGAGAAAAAATGATGAAGAAAGATAAGTACACCATACTGAAAACATACTATTAGCAATATAAGATATAGTGTTATAACAAAATTGATCTAAATTTTGTTGGAGGGGGATTATGCACAGCTAGTCCCACTTCCAATTTGCAATGGTGGCAAAAGGTCTACAAAAATCAAGTATATGTACTTCTGATGAACTACGGTACCCTCCGAATAATGTTCTTATAAATGCTTTTGATACAGCAGGACCCCTCCAAATCAGGCTTCGTATTCTATGTATAAAATAAAGATAACTCTCACACTCAAACACTAATCCTTGTCATTCTACTGAGAAAAGACTTACAAGATCAAACTGGCATATGGGTTCAGCTTATGAGACTTTGGTAAGTGGTGAAACAGCTACATGGTTACCTTATTTTCTATAATACAATATTTTTCACCTATAATACAGAAGTTGGACTATCAACATTCTGTCACTCCAAGTGGGACAAGAAAATTGTTTTCTGATGGAATAATAAAGATAGAGAAGTAGCCATGAGACCTGTAATTCTCGGGTCCACTAGAGAGGGGCAGGTTTAGTACTTGCAAGAGTGAAGAAATGCTAAGTACGACTGCACTGTGGCAGTTTAATGCACTGTGTTATCACTTAATAATCAAATATGCTGTAAGTAAGTGCAACTACGATCAACTAGTAGACTATGAAAGCTTAGTGTTATATTTTGACCAGAGACACGAACCTTCCATTCATCCGAAGAAGTGTCCTCAGACACAGAAAAGCTTATGAAAAAACAACAACTTCTTATCGTCTTATAGGTGTTACGTGATTATTTCTGGAATAAGTAAAATACGAAACAAGCACATGACTAATTCGCCAAAATATCAACAGAAAACAGATCTAGCCGTGTATGTTGAAACATATCACCCAAGGATTTTACCCATTTCTCTTGCTTCTACCATCATATCTGAATCACTTTCCACAAATGTTAGTCCTGAATTTTCAGGAAGGGAACAGAACTCCAAATGCCAGAACTCCTTGCTGATGTCTTGCAGAAGCTTCCCATCTTTATACCAGTTTCATTTGCTTATCACACAACCAACTCTACTGCTTAATGACAGCAAATGCATCTACAAGTCCCCTTCCATTTACACATATGAAAAGTCCTATTTTTCCTGATTTCACACCACCTGCAGTCTCATATGATATGTTGTGTGCCATTCTTGAAGATCCCAAACATCAGAAGCAGCTGTTTGCACAAATTTTAATTTATTTTTGTCTGTATCTAATGCAATCTCTTGGGCACAACAATTTAAAGGGTAACATAGATTAATTGTCTCATTGTATGAGCATTATTAAATATTGTTGTTGTGGGTTTTTTGGGCTCTTTGGCCGTGCACTGAAGGGTGTTCTCCCTAACGTTTTGCCAGTCTCTGTGGCCGGCATCTTCAGAAAGAACAACCTTCAGAACAAGGCCAAACAGCCCAAAAAATCCACAACAACCATCAGATCCCGTCCGTGAAAGCCTTTGAGAATACATTACTGAATATTATTTAGCACAAGCAATTTAGTGTTGAGAAATAACTGGGAGATTCACAAACCATCAACAAATATTTTTTTTATGACCTGAGCAGAATTTAAATGAAAACTACTCTGGACTAATCATCAAAATGTATGAGGTGCAAAAGCTGTTCCATATTTTCTCTCAGGTAAATACAGATGTCTTAGCATGTGTGGACTTCAAAGGGAGCCATAACTACTCCATTTCCTGATGTGCATGAAGTGTCTCACTATTATACTCTCTGGCTGAGTAATAATATTTTATTTATTTATTTATCTTAAATGTGTTATACTCCTTAAAAAATACAAATTCAAGAATACATTTCCAAGCAAATTTAGAATAAATGTACATTCATCAAAGAGGCGGGATTGAGAACAGCTTCTTACTGATGAACTAAAAACAGGCGTAGGGAACTATGGCTCTCTGCATATTATTAGACTGGAGCTATCAACACTCCCAGCCAAAATAGCCAATAGTGAAGGATCGTGGGAATGGCCACCCTTGCCCCAAAAATCTATTTCTTTCACTATGGCTATAGGCAGCTATTCCAATAGCAGAGGAGATGAGATTTGAAGCAAGGCTACTTCGCCAGCCTTTGTGAAAGACCATTTGCTTTCTTCCCCTTCCATCCTTCAAACTTTTCCCTTTTGTGCTGTAATATTTTAGATTGCAAGTCTGTGAGTCTGGGCTGTCCTATTTCAATAGTTTGTATACAAGCTGCCCAGAGTGGTAGAATATACCAGATGGGCGGGATATAAATTGATTGATTGATTGATTGATTGATTGATTGATTGATTGATTGAATGAATGAATGAATGAATGAAAGCCAGGAAGTCTTTTTCACTTTAGATTAGGAAAAAAATGATCTGAAGAAGTAACAGTTAAGAATTAAAGATATTCAGTAAAGTGTGAAACAACACTGCATGGTCTAAGAATATAAAAGAATATAATGAACAGAAGCCAAGTTTGTAACACTTCTAAGACTGACAAATTTACTTCTGTATTCAGTCTGAGACTCATGTTGTATTTTAAAAAGTAGATTATAACCCCCCAAATCTCACAATGAAATAATTCTGATAGTATTAAAGGTGCCACAAGATTTTGTTTTTGTTGTTATTCTGTTTTCAAAATATATGCACTAATATACTAAAGTCTTATCCACACACTCATTTTGAGGTGGGCTGGCTTGGACTAAACAGGGTTGCTAGGAGGGAACTCCAACTGGCATAGGGAACTCAAGAGATTCTATTTGGCCCACTATCAGTTTACCAATATTGTAAACTAGTTAAAGAAGAGAGCTTAAGGATATTGGTAAATTAAACACTTCCACAGATCTGTGGAGAGGCCAAAGAAGTGGGGAAAAATTAAATGTATTAGGGCAGTGCATATGTGCTGCATCACTTTAAAAAAAGTCAATTGGGACAATTCCTCACGGAAGCGAGACAAGTCAGGAGAGGGAAATGAGGGGGATTTTTGTTTGTTTTTCCTCAATTGGCTCTTGACCAGACCTTTAAGAGAAGAGGAAACAAAAATCTCCCTCATTGCCCCCTCCTGTCTCCTCCCACTACCAGGAATATGTTTTCCATTTGGATCTTACTTTAAACCTGTGTGTATACAATCCAAAGGCAAGGGCAAGTGATATATCTTTATATCTTTATTAGGCCATGAAAAAATCACAAACACATACTAGTTTTTGACCTGTGCAAGTCTTCATCAGGCTGGCACCACAGTGCTGTGGATGGTGCAGTTCCAAAAATCATGTCCAGATGTACAGGCTAGCTTCGTTTGTCAAAATTGGGTTTCAAAATGGGGACTGCAAACTCAAGTCATAGATGCAGTTTCAGATTTCACCTCTGGTGTTGACTGAAATGTTTCCCCCTATCCTGCTAAACAGAATTGCCACACACTCAACAAACTTTCCTTCCCTGCATAATATCCTATATTTAAACACAATGATTTCTTGGCTGGGGATGGGGCACACAAAAATAGAAGAAACCCCATATCAGAAGATGTGGGATGAAATCTATTTTATCCACTAGATGAGCAGCCAGAGTAACAGTATTACCTAATGGGCAGAGGAAGATGTTCTCATCAGGTTGTAATCTTGGTTGGCCAGTGCTAAATGTCCACGTTTGGTTGTAGGTGGTGCTCTTGTCAGCTATTCAGGGTATTTTCCACAGTTCAATGAAAAAGAAAAAAGCCATGGTCCTGTTGACAATAAAGAAATTAAAATATTTAATCCCCGCCCCATACTTCCTTTCAATCACCAGTCCAAATGCAGCTAAGAAATGGCAAAACTGAATTTTGGAGGAGCAGCAATGAAGGAACTAGAAAAAGTCCTTAAGAGTGAGGATGGGTCAAAGGCTGAGATAGTAAATTCCACAGCATTCTTCAGTATAGACAGATGTGAACGTTCTGCAATGAAGAAAGGTAATGGGGGGAGGAGTCTACTCATTTTAAACATGGTGTGGGAAAAATGCTTTACACATATCACCAGAAAGACAAATAAGTGGCTTGGTTTGATCAAATGCAGCGCAAATTCTTGCTAGAAGGCAAAAGGACTACAATGGAGTTATCATAATGTGGACACAGCACGATATGATAATGCTAAGGGAAGTGGAAGACAGAAATAAAAGAAGAAAGTCTAACATGAGATGAACTGACTCAATAAAGGAAACCACACCTCTGAGTCTGCAAGACCTAAGTAGGGTTGTAATCAGTAGGAAC